TACCTTAAATTGTCATCCTATAATTTTGTCAATGTCAAACTGTATTTTCTACACATTAGGTTTTTGCCTCATTCGAACCAGTTTTAAATTACAAAAATATATTTCGGCGACACTAAACATAGGCACTAAGACGTAGTAGTGTAGACGGCACAACAAATTATATCTAACAATGGTCAAATCCAACTGTTGACAACTTAAGGTATGTTGATATTTGCCTGGTTTTGCATTGTTATCTGTTCAGTATTAATTTAAAAATAGATGAAGTTTTTCTTAAATTACATGAAATCGGCTTGTTAAAAATTGTTCAAATTTGGCATGTGTATTCAGCATAGGCAGACCTTTAAAAAACATATTTACGACTTAGCTGTAAAATTTGCATGGAATTTATTAAATTCTTCTATACAGTGTGTCCTCGGATTGTCTTAATAAGAGAAAAAACTTTTATATTATTGACATTTTAAGAAAAATGCATTCTTCATAAAACATGTTTGCTTGTTCTAAAATGGTTAATCCCGTTTGTACCTACTATTCGTAATTTCCATACCGTTTTAGAGAGAACTAAAGGAAACATGAAAATATGGTTGAATTTTTTCCTAAAAATCACAAGGCGTTTATATGGTAATATAATTTCGATTTAATTCTTTAAGAGATGGTTCTTATTAACATAGATAAAGTAAAGTAAAGATTTAAAGTCTCCCTTTTGGCTGCCAGGGCTAATCTGGACGGGACCTACTTTGTATACGCGGAATCCGAACCGCGGTCCTCGGCCATATCATGGTTAATGGCCTACCGACTTGGCAAGTGTCTAAATCGACTCTTACTCACGAGATATCCGATCTCATCCGGCCTCGAACCAGCGTGAATGAGCAGTGTGTGTCAATAGATTTCAGCCTTTTGCCTTTTATTGGACAACAGCACGATACAGAGTTTCGAACCGGTCACCCGTCCATCCACTAGTATCGCCTTACGTCGCTTAACTTCGGTGTTCTAATGGGAACTGGTGTTTCGACGTAGCTGGGCAGTTGCCCTAATATAGATAAAGGAAATAAATTTAAATTTGGAATGCCCGTCAAAATTTTGGGTAACGAAATTATTTTGGGTCGCGACCGTTGTACGCGATCTGGCGCTGCTATAGCGGTTGCTAAGAACAACCGCGAACAAAAAAAGAAATAATTTTTTCTTGTCCATATCTCTTGTCAAAGTCATCATCTTCAAAAATTATAAAATCTTACTAAATCTAAAGCGCTCCCATTGAAAAAAATCCGAAAAATGTTTAAAGCGTCCAATTCCAAACTAGTTATTGCTATCTTGTGAGTTTAATTTAAGTATAATTTACTCAAACCCGTGATAATTGTGAAAAAGTGGTATTAAAAACTTAAAAAGCTGTGCTGTGAACTGTGAACTGCAAAAACTATCGGGGATCGTGGCATAACGTCGCGTCGCGTCGGTTTCCAATGTTTTTGTCCAGGTATTTCATACATGTCCTTATATAAAATAAAGTTTCTTGTATGCAACACACTGTATTTTATTCATAAAATTGAAAGAAAATAATAATAAATTTGAATAAATAATATTTGGCGATATAATCCGGAAAAAGCCGAACCGCTCCGAAATTTTCAAAAGTTTTGGGTCGCGACCGTTGCAACAATAGCGCCAAATAGTGTTTATATTATCCTTATGGACACTTTCCAATCTAAACTTGTTTCATTTATCTTCTATACTTATTAATTTTGATTAACGTCATATTTTTTGGTGTTGTTAAAGTATAATATTTTCCAGTAACTATTATCACTCTTTCCGTAGCATTGAACTAAATAAATTTTGTGCTTTTTTAATATTTGAAAACAGCAAAAAATATGACTTAATGAATTAAAATTCTATCAATAACAATCTATCAAGAAATGAAAATGAAATTATGTTACCATAGAACGCGTTTTAATTTTTAGGAAAATGTCTACTATATTAAGTATATTTTTATGTTGTTTTTAAATTTTCTTTAAAACGGTATGGACATGTGGAAAAGTATAAATCGAATTAACCATTTTAAAACAACCAAAAATTTTTATTAAAGAATGTATGTTTTTCTCAATGGCAATAAAAAAAAAGTTTTTCCTCTTGTAAAGACAATCAGGGAACATACTGTATATTGGGTTATATTTGAAAAGTTTCCTTCATCTTTATTTTTATCAGTATAACACATGATATGATGTTTATAATTCTGTAGACAATTAAGCTAATATTAAAATAATTTTTCAAATCTTCTTAGATATACAGGGTGAGTCTTAAATAAGTGCAAATATTTTCAGGGCTGGTAGATCTTGATAAAAGAAACATATTTTCTCTTTACCATTTTTCAGATAAGTCCAAAATTATAGAGTTATTTAAGTTTGAAAATTTAAAAAAAAAATTTCTTTTGAAAAAAAAGCTTAGGGCCACCGGATCTTTTTCTGTATTTGCATCCCTTTTATTGCCGTAACCATAGAGTAAAGCCGTAACTGTGGTAAGATCGGAGATTAAGAAACTATACAGTGGGAAGATTTGCGATGAACAGGCAGTTCTAAAAAGTTTTTGAAAAATATACAGAGAAATTTAAAAAGAAATGCACGATTTTCAACCTCTTTTTTTATCGAAAAAAACCACATAGACGTGTTCCTGAGGTCGAAATATACCACCCCTGAAAATATTTGCACTTGTTTAAGACTCACTCTGTATTGTAGTTACTTTCTAGACGAAATTACGAATGTTATACATTCGCCTCTTTCAATATTTCAAAGAGACAAACAAATAATTAACAAGCATTTTCTTCTGTACTATATTCACAAAATACTTCATATTTTGTAATAGTATATTGCTTTTAGAATACATTACAAACATAACACATGTAAACATGTACGGACATTGTTTTTAACACACTTCTATATGTTTTCAAATACTTAAATAATATTAATTAGCTAATATGTTTTAAAGGTTCTACGTGCAAAGAAAACATCAATTAATGGAACTCTACTCTAATCTACCAAATAAATATTTTAATGTACAGTTTTTGCTTATTATATACAAATTAGTGTATGGTACTAATGCAGGACGCGAAACAATAAGAGACATTAAAATGCATATAGTGAGATCAAGAAAGTGGGTCTATAAATTCAGTATGATCCTCGGTATAACCGATATTTTATTGATAAGAATATTAAAGTTGAATTATCAATATTTGATATCACAATTATGGGATTTAATTATTTTTTTAATGAATTATTCTCTTAGAGATAAGGAAATTTATTATCATATCTATTTAGAAACACAGAATTGTTCATAATTTGACAGAATGTGATACACATTCCTTAATAAGTTTTGAGTTTGCGGCAGATATTGATACCTAGTAGGTACGTTTTCAAAAATACGGTTAAACAGAATTTATTTACAAAATATTTTACTATATACAGAGTGAGTCTTAAGTAAGTGCCACTATTTTCAGAGCTGTTAGATCTCGATAAAAGAAACCTAATATTATATTTTCTCTTTATCGTGTTTCAAATAAGTCCAAAACATCTGAGGCTTCTTTTGTGATTATTTACTGTGAAAATTTCCAAAAATATTGATTTTTTGCTTAAATTTTGAGAACCGCTAGACCTTTTCTGAATCTTCTTTTTTGTTAATTTAATCTACTCTCTATGTTGATATTATGTTTTTAAATATACAATTAAATAAAATCCATTTTTTTTTTCAAAATATTCCATATTCAAATTTTTTTTTCGCGAAAAAAGAAATCATAATCGTGTTTCTGTGGTCGAAATATACTACCCCTAAAATATTTGCACTTATTAAACCCTGTTTATCTAGTATTATAATTGTTTTATAAGTTATTTATATTTTTAAATATCCTCTAGTGTTATAAAAATACCGGGTGCGTCTCAAAAGTGGGTCACCCCCTATAACTTTTTTATTTCTTCAGATAAAAAAACAAGATTTGGTATGTTAGTATATGCCTAAATTAGGATTGATTGACGTATTCAACTATTTTCTGTCACTTCCTGTTTCATCGGAAATGACTACAGCTCTTGATTTTTAAATAGCACCCTCGGTATTTTTTACTTTATTCGATAGAAAATAACATTCTGAACAGAATTACATATCATATGTCAACTTTTGACATTTTCACTTAAAACAAATTTGAATTTTAAATTTCAATCTAGAGTGCCATGGCTGTGTTAAATACGCTAATTTTTAATCAAGAATCCTTGGAAAAATAGATTTGATCGTCTAATTGTATTTGCGTCTTGTCCTGGCCGGTTAAAAGATACCCAAACCGTATTTTTAGTCATATTTAAATGTTTTCAAATGGAACGAGGGTGGCTCATTAGCATATTGGGAAAAAACATTTTTTTACGAATAATTTGGTACCACACACTTGGCATTTCGAGTCAAATTGTTGTTATGAATCGCATGTTGCAATTTTAAATAAACCATATTTGAAAATGTCAAAAGTTGACATATGATATGTCATTCTATTCAGAGTGTCATTTTCTATCGAATAAAACAACAAAATTCTGAGGGTCATTTCCGGTGAAACAGGAAGTGACAGAAAACAGCTGAATACGTCAATCAATCCTAATGTATGGTATATATTAATATACCAAATCTCAATGCAAGTTCTTTTAGCCAAGAAATTATTTTAGTTTTAATACTGAATGATTGTCTACCACATTCAAAGAAACTTATCTTGGACACTAAAACTTCTATCCTTTTCCAGAAAATATCTACTAATAGGTATTATTTTTATTTTGCTTGGCTATATTGGCAAAAAATACACTGCATTTTTTATACCCATAGAATATTATAAAATATTTTAAAATTAAAATTTATGAATCAACGTTTCAAATTAATTAACTATTTTTCGATTATTGGTTATTTTTATTTAAATAATTTAGTATAATGTATATAAAATCTATCAATATTATCTACTTTATCGTTAATAATTTTAATTGTTTATATTTTTGCAGATACCTTAGTCAACGAATGGCCTTTAATGCAATCGCCAATACCAGTAGTCCTAATAGTGATCCTATACCTTTACTTTGTATTAAATGTTGGTCCGAAATGGATGGAGAAGAGGCCCGCCTTCAAACTCAAGTCAGTACTAATATTCTATAACCTGTATCAGGTGTTGTTCAGCGTGTGGTTGTGCGCTCACGCTTTTAAAGTGAAGAATCTCGGACCCTATATTTTCAGTCACATGTGTACGAGATCACAAAATCCTGAATTAGAGAAATTGGTAAGTATGTTAACAAGTCAATGTTATTAAAAAAAACAAGATTGTGAGTTTGAGTTTCATGTGGTCTTCTTTGAGGTTTGTCACTACTTTGTAAGAAAAATGACTGCAATCAGTAAAGTAAAGGGCAGCGACCTTTTCAGCAACTTGGAAACCTTCCAGATATCTCTCCATCAATGGCCTATCATTGCCTATTACAGAGAACTGCACTTTTGCCAGGCTTTCGCACCGCCATAAAATATGTTCTGTCGTTTCTTCTTCAGTTTGGTTCATCACCTGCACATGGCTTCGTTCGCCAATCCCATTACCTATAGATGTCTATTCAGCGTATAATGTGCTGTTAATAGTTCCTCTACAGATTTGACTGTTCTGTCTTTGTTTATGAGATCTGCCGTGAATTTTGGCAAATGTTCAACTATGAACTTTTCGCCAAAATATCTCGCCTGTCTCTGCCCTGGTGAATTTCTTCACTCTAGAGATTTTTTGGCCACCCAACGTTTCATGGCCATTCTTGTAACTGCTTTTGCTATGCCGCAGAAGGGTACGTGTAAGGGGATATGTTATTGATGAGATGTTTGGACTAGGAGCTTTGAACTTTGGCCGTTTCATCTGCCTTTTCGTTACCTAACTTATCAACCTTTAGAATAGCCTATTATGCCCTTTTTAAGTCACATTTTCGTTATGCTCTTCCATTCTGGAGTACTTGCTGTGCTAAAAAATTTGATCGTATTTTCAAACTTCAAAAGAGAGCAGTTCGATATTTATTGGGACTGAACAGTAGAACTCACTGCCAGAATTTCTTTAAAAATTTCAAAATACCGACTCTTCCTTCTTTATTCATTTTTGAATCCGTTTGCTTAATCCGCAAGCATATATCTGCTTTTCCCGAAAGGCCATCTCACAACTATCCACTTAGGAATACCGAGCACGATCTTTATCTTCCAACCCCGAGCTCAGAACTAGTTAAAGGTTCAATACTGTACAATGCCAAAAAAATGTACAATCATCTGCCTTTGAATATCATGTCGCTTTCATTCTTTCCCGCATTTCGCAAAGCTCTGAAATCATACTTACTGGAGAGAGCCCTATATGCGGTAAACGACTTTTTTGTTGATGTTTAATCATTAACAATTTTGAATTTTAAAATTTTGATCATCTCACACACTGGTTAAAAGTCTAGTATTTAATATTTTATTAAATGATTACTAAACTCTTAAATGACTATATCTATTTACAATTTTTCTATTGTAGTAAAATTTTATTGATACACCTTTATTTGTGTTCTGCAATATTCTGTTGAATTGTATGATTTGTATTGTATGATATTTTTTTATTATTTATATATTTTTTGTCCTTTTGTTTGTTTTGTAAATGCTTTGTCGATGAACCTATTTTGGCTATTACCTTTGTGACCGTTTGCCCTGGTACAGAAGCTAACGTAACATTGCTACGCTTACCCAATGTATTTAGAGTACACACACAATCCCACAAAGAATACAGTAGAAAGAGTTCGTCTCTTAGGTGAAATGATTATTTCTCACCTAAGTTACCTTGTCAAATTGGATAATTTAATCCCTGCTAATTTCAAAATATCATAGTCTCATTTCAGGTTTGATCTTTCTTTAGGTCTCTTGATTCCTCGTGGGTACCATGCTGTAATTTTTGTGGCCCATCTACTGTCCATCCTTCTTGCGAAGCGTCCTGTATATTGCCACTTGAGGGATTTGATTCTGTGGATGACATCCATTACCTGAATCTTTTGTCGTATCCACTCTATTATTTTACGGTCTCTCTTGGTTATTCCCAGGATATTTTGTTCAATTGAGCGTTGTGCGAACTGCAGATTCCTTATAATGTCCGTTTTAGGTATTCATGTTTCGCATGCATAGGTCATGACAGGTATAGTACACATTTGTCTAATGTTTTCTTCTTTAGATAGAGTGGCATTCTAGAATTGAATATGATTGAGTTTCTTCCATAAGTAACCATTCTAACTTAATTCTTCTGTTAATTTCTGGTAATAGAGATCCTGAACTATGTATTAGTTGCCCCAAATTATATATATATATTCTTCTATTTCTTCTTTTCTTAAATTTATAATTTTGTTATGTTATTTACTAGAATGTACTTTCTGTCTACCAGTTCATTGTACAGGGTGGTCGAAATTGGTCTATTTTAACAGGGAAAATCTATTTCCTGACTAGATAGAGCAAAACCGACGTAGATGTCATGGACTCGATTTCTGACACACGTTTAATGGCATAAACCGCCTGTTGATATTTTCACTGCCAACTGAGATACGAGGTCTTTTTGATTTTTTTACCATTTTGAAAATTGCCCATAACTTTTTTATTTCGCGGAATAATAAAATTCTGTAAAGACGTTCTTAAGGCACTTTTTTAAGCACAATCCAGTGGCGTAGTGACTTTTTTTCTATGCTTAATCTTTTTGTCAGAAATAATAAAAAAATATAATTTTTAAATGGAAATCATAGTTGGCTATGAACTTAAAAAAATGCTGCCGTTTAACCATTTCGAACGATATAAAGTTATGGGTACCTATTTCTAAGAATGAGAGAAATATTAGGTTTTTTATCTTTGTATCGAAGTGTGCCTTGATTTTGAGTTGACCTAGTTGTCTAATTATTTTTTATCGCAATTTAATATTCTATATTATTATTTATCTGCATAATTAGAGACTTTTGAAAAGGTAAATTAACATTATATATTAGTTTTAGTAATTACAATTGAAATCGATACAATAAACAAAGAACAAAGCTAAAAAACGTATTTTTTGAGTGACGAATATATAGTTTTCTAAAAAAATCATCTAAGATGTTCAAACTGAGCACCTCCTTGTTGAATACATAATAAACATCTTTTGCGTACAGAGTTACAGCGATTTATTAGGCGAACTGGTGTAAGTCCAAAAGCTTGTCTAGTAGCTTTCTGCAATTCTTCTCTCGTCCCAATGGTTCTTTCCTTATAGATAAAGTCTTTTAATTTTCCCCATAAAAAATTAGAAAGAAGTTAAATCACAGGACCTAGCAGGACAAGATATGGGGTCCCTTGTTCCAATCCGATTCTCTCTAAATTCTCCATTTAATGGCGTTTTAATTGTAATTGGTAAAACTAATATAGAATGTTGATTTATCTTTTCAAAAGTCTTTAATTTTGCAGATAAATAATAATATAGAATATGAAATTGCGATAAAAAATAATTAGGCAACTAGGTCAACACAAAATCAAGGCCCGCTTCGATACAAAGATAAAAACCCTAATATTTCTCTCATTGTTAGAAATAAATACCCATAACTTTATATCGTTGCCAAGGGTTAAACATCAGCATTTTTTGAAGTTCATAGCCAACTATGATTTTCATTTAAATAATTATATTTCTTACTATTTCTGACAAAAAGAGCAAGTATAGAAAAAGACTGACTACGCCACTGGATTGTGCTTAAAAAAGTGCCTTAAGAACGTCTTTACAGAATTTTATTATTCCGCGAATTAAAAAAGTTATGGGCAATTTCCAAAATGGGAAAAAAATCAAAAAGACCCCGTATCTCAGTTGGCAGTGAAAATATCAACTGGCGGTTTATGCCATTAAACGGGTCTCAGAAATCGAGCCCATGACATCTACGTCGGTTTTGCTCTATCTAATCAGGAAATAGGTTTTCCTTGTTAAAACAGACCAATTTCGACCACCCTGTACAATACTTTAGTTTTTGCTAAATTCATTTTGAGACCTACTTTATTGCTGGCTGTATTTAGCTCATTAATTTGTGCTTGTACTATTGACAATTAGGACTATGTCATCAGCGAATCTTAGATGGTTATGATATTTTCCATTTGTTTTTAATCCTTTCCCAAGCAACACAGATAGTAGCAGGTACGTTCCTGGGACTACAAAAGCGACCATCAAGTAGACTGCCACTATCGGCGGCTACGTTGCCGCCACGTAGCCGCCACGTAACTGTTACTAAAATGGGGAAGAATTTAGTGTAACGGGGTAGTATACCGGGTGGACCCAGGGATTAACGCCGCCACTATATTTCGTAACTATAAAGTGAAAGGGTAGTAGCGGCCACTATCCTGCTACGTAGCGGCCTGGTCGCCCCTACGTGGCCGCCTGGTAACTGCTAGTATATAGTAGCAAAACATTCTTCTAGCGAGCTCTACTTTTAAAAAACGTTTTAAAATAAAATAATAATATGATATGACAGCCGCGGTGCATGGCCATGTTAAAATTAAGTTAATAATGGCGTGTTATGTTTATGAGGAAAATGATGGTTTTAATCGCGTATTTCGGACACTTCCAGGACTAATATAATAACGCACGTCACTTTACTGACCAATATTACCGAGTTAGATGGAAATATTTTAACGCGCCTTCGAATTAATTCAATTTTGTAGATATTTAGAAACAAAAAATAATATCAAAAATATTAAAAATAATATTTGGCAATGAACGAAAGTGTATTCGAGTTCTAATTGGAAAAATAAATGCTTAAAGCACTATAAAACTTGGGAAAATAAAGAAAAAATTAAAATATATTAACAAATAAATTTAATTAAAAAATGTCTGACATTAAAAAATGGCTGACGCACACTTCGCTACGATAAAGTTAGGCTCTTCCCTATGAAGTAGCAGGGACTACCCATTTTTTACTTTAAAAGATCCGCTACTTCCAGTGATTAAGTTGTTACTACTCAAAAGTTACTTTGTAGTATCGGCTACTACTTCGGAACTTTGTTATTCTTAAATGTATTTAAATTTTGTACCCTATGGTAACTACTGGAACTAGAAAGTTACTTTGAACACCCAAAAAGTCGGACAATCAGGCATTTTGTGACAATATAGTTCCATATGTTTCTATAAAGTTCCGCCTACCTCTCATCTCAAAACAATATAAGAACACTAATTTTTTATCTAGGATCCTTCTATCTAGGAGAAAAATATATTTGATCTTTTAATGTTTTTCGTGTCTTGTCCTGACTGGTTAAAAGATGCCTAAATTGTGTTTTTAATCAAATCTCAATTTTTTCAAATGGAACGAGGATGACTTATTATCATATTTGAAAAAAGCATTTTTACGAATAATTTGGTACCACACACTTGATATTTCGAGTCAAATTTCCGTTAAGAACCGATGTTACAATTTCAAATAAACCATATAAGAAAATGTCGTATTATGATATGTCATTCTATTCAGAGTGTCATTTTCTATTGAATTAAGCAAAAAATATTGAGGATGCCATTTAAAAATCAAAAATTGTCTTTTCCGGTGAAACATGAAGTGACCAAAAACAATTGAATAAAAAAATGATGAATGAGAAAATCAAATTTTTACTTTCGCCCTAATCTGATTTACTTCAATTCCAATATCCAAAATATCATTTAATTCTGTTACAAAATCATGTAAAAATTCTTGTAATGGAGGTTTTGACTCGCCACAATTAATAGCTGTCACCATGGGTTGATCGCAAGGATATTCATGCATTTTTAGGAGTATCGGCCAAAATTCTAATGGAGAACTCTTAAATGGAGGCAAGCCGTCAACATTAAAAATTAGAGACATCGATTCTAGGTTGGTCTCTTCGGATAAACGTGCTACTAAAATCTTCCTTATTCCATTGTACCAAAATTCTCCATTTCCCATTGGAACAATGGCACAATATCTCAGTTTTTTAGTATACCAAGTAAATTTGTTAAAGCAATGTGGCTAATTTGGTGTTTTAATGGCCAATGCCTTAGTTCCTGACTTATGTTACTTTCTTTTCTGAGCTCTGTTTTATCTTTAAATTCATCAGTAGTCACCAACTCGACATTCCTAGAAAAATGCAGCTATAAGAACTTTACAAATATATAGAAAATACGACAATTATACATAATAATAATATGTATATGAATTTTCAAAAATAAATTTAAAATAATTTATTGATCATATCAAAGCCCAGTCATACTTCTCTAAATTTAATCCAATAAACCCTTTATCCTGGTGAACTTATCTAGGAAGTTCCACTAGAAGCGCAGTGAACAAACAGTTTTATTGATCTTTATTCTTGTGGTCACGGACAAGATGGGTAAATACGCGATCTGCTACTTTAAAGAAATATTTTTTAGTTTCCACAACTTTATAGTAGCAAGACGTCAATAGGAGTATGGTACCCGTTACTTTATAGTAACAAACCATATTCGCAGCTACTATTTTGGGACCAACAATTAGTACCCAAATGCCTCGTAACGTTAAGACCCAAAATGTAGGGTACTGCGACTATTCTGCGACTAAGCATGGGACTATATAGTAACAAGTACTTCATACACCCATTTTAGTAGCACAGGCTGGTAGCCGTTCCGTATTTATTGTCACTAAGTAGATTTTGCCACTTAGTCACAAATGACTAGTAACAGGTTGGTAACAGATACTATTCAAAAATACTTTGCAGGGGTATTACCGGATATAGTGACAAATTAGGTAACAGGGTGCACCCAGGAACTATGTTTTGATAGCCAGTCTTAAACCTAAGGGATTTGGAACTATCTGTGTTGCTTGGGTTGTTGGCCCAGTCGAGTTATGAGTAACAGTTTGATAAATTATTGAGTGTTTTTTGTGTAAACAATCTTTCTATACATCGATGCATCATTTTTAATTGACTTATATTTAAAACACAATGTGTTCATAAACATCGTCGTTAATGCAAAATGCTTTCTAGGTTTACTGTCTCTGTTTGTTCTTGTTTTTCCTAATTACATTTATTACATTTTAATTTCGTAAATTACGTTGGTCAACTACAATTTTAGGTTTTAGTAGGTGTCGTTTTATCACCTAAAATTAGTCTTGATGATTGATATACATGACCTACACGAAACTTTTTTCCATTCAATTTTATTTATGTTATTGTATCATCATATTGTATCATTGTATAATGAGCTTAATTCTGTGTACGCATTGATTAATAAAAATAATAAAGGTACATTCTAGCTGAGAACGTCGAGCGTCGCGTAGCGTCGAAATGGAATTAATTCACTTAAACTTAAATTAGACCGTTCAGGTAGACAGCGTCGCGTTTGGCGTTGCACTAGCGTCCGCTGAGCGTCGGGCGTCGAGTTCAATATGAATAATTCTTTTTCGGCGAGATTTGTAGCGTTCAGTGGCTCGAAATCATCCAAGTCCAGGCAAGACATGCACTTTGTGACGCAAAATTGTTACAATATAGAAATAGAAACGTGTAATCGGATATTTAAAGAAATTATATCTATCTCTATTCAAAATGTTTGAAATTTTTATAATAATAATAATATCCCCCGTATATAGCGTTTAACGCCTTGGAAATAGGAAGGTACTGGCCATGCTAAAGCCGTTCGGTATACAAGGAAGGTAATGTGGCTAGCACTACGCTTCAACCGCCCATTATTACCTCAGGATTGTGAATCGCAAGTACTAATTTAAGGCTGAGTCGACCTAGGTACCCAAACTATTTTTATTTTATTAAAAATAGTCGGCTGATGAAATGCCGGCTGTAGGATTTGAACCCACAACCTTAAGATTGGTAGACGAGAGCTGTACTTCTAGGCCACCGGGCACCTTTTGTTAAAAATTTTATAATATCTTTATATAATTGTCGCTTTATTTTTAGGTAGATTCTCCAACTTTTTTGTATATTATTTAACTGCAGAATATGACATTTCTAATACTAAAATTCAACAAACTGCTCTCTTTAACGCCATTTTACAAACTAAAAATGTAAAAAAAGTTATCACAAGAGGCTGAACTGACGCTTTCATCCTGAATGTACCTTAAAGATAAAATTAAAGAAAATAATAAATTCTTTTTTTATAGATAATAATAAATAAATTAAACCCCTTATTTTCAGATTGTCAAGAGTGCCTGGTGGTATTTCTTCTCAAAAATAACAGAATTACTAGATACGATATTTTTTGTATTAAGGAAGAAGCAATCGCAAGTTTCGTTTTTGCACGTGTATCACCATTCGGTTATGGTGATTGGAACATGGGCTTACCTAAAATTCCTTCCAGGTAATTCAAATTTCACTACCGTTTATTAAAGACAGTAACTTATCTTTGATTTTATAGGAGAACAAGGTTTGCTTATAGGATTTTTAAATTCACTGGTCCACGTTGTCATGTATTTCTATTACTTTTTGGCTGCACTAGGGCCACAATATCAGAAATACTTGTGGTGGAAGAAGTACATGACCTGGATGCAACTTGTAAGTAGCGATCTGTTTCTTCCACTCATTTACTTGTCATTGGCATTAATTAAATATAAATTAGTGACTGTTGTCTAATATTTGATTAATGGGTACGCGAGTATTTAAAAATACCTACGTAGAGTCTGTACCACAAAAATGCCAAGTGTCCTTTATGCGTGTAGTCAACAAAATTGCATATACAGTAAACAGTTTTTGCATTTTTAACGATCTTAATGAATTAGTCTAGTTAACACAGGAAGATTTTTTTAATTATACGTGACTAACCTAGGGTTGTACGTAGTTTTGAACAATTCGAATAACATTGTCTAATTTTATATAATTATTATGTAAACTCTTGTAGAATTTTTTTTTGGTGTAATTGTGTTTTTTTATTCAACTGAAAACAATTTAAGTATTCTATGGAAAAAAACAAGGACGAGAATTCTCAGGAAATAAATTTAGTCATGTTTATATTCCCCCTTTCTGAATATATTCTATTTTTGGTGTTTAAGGGCATAAATATTATTTTTTAATGTTATAAATGTTTTAATTTTTTTTTCAAAAAATTACGTGATTATATAATATATAAGAAAATACATCTCACAAAACTTGATTTTTCAACATGTACTAGTATTTAAAAACAATAGAGAAAAGTAACCAAATATGGAATAAAATTTTGTTTTTGTGATATACAGGTTGTCCCAATGTTCCGTGGACTTAGAACTACTACGTATTTTTGGAATCAAAATAAGTTTGTTGGGCACAATTTACCTCTACAACTATACAAAAATGCTTAGTTTGTTCGTCAGAGGGCATCAAACTTTAAAAAAATAAACACATTTTTTCAGATATTTTAAGAACCGTTATTCCGATTTGAATGAAATTTTGGGTTGCCAAGTGCTTTAACATTTTACTTTCACAAAATTGAAGAAAAAGTACGGGAAGGGTAAAAACTACCCCCACCCCTACTTATATTTTAGTAATAGTTACTACATATTCTTACTTATTATCAGTCATACTAATATAATAACTGTTTTCTGTTACATATATTAATTTAAAATATAAAATTTTCTCAAAAACAAAATCAACATAGAGGTACCTATTATTATGGAATAGGTAACCAAATATATGGAATACTCTCGGGACTACTGTAAAACTATGAATAATTACTTTTTATGAAATACTACAGGAACTTAGATCATATTTAAAAGGAAACTTAAGTTAGTAATAATGTATGAAATTCAGAAAATCACGTGTCGAGTTCTGCACCTACGCAATCACCATGTATCCAGAGCCCGCACATGAAGCATTGAATCTATACAGGGTGACAATTTGAAACCGAACAGTATTTATTATTGCCTCTACCGATGATAGTATGAAAATTTTTGGCGAAACACGTCAATTTACATATCAAAGGGGACAATTTTTGAGACATTGCATCGTTTTACTTTCAACTCCTTGACCCCCAGGGCACCTACCCCTAAAATTTTAAATAGCAACCCCTATTTCTTTTACCATTTTTGTGTTTCTTATAGAATTCTACATAAACTGCATTTTTTTGAGAATTTTATAAGGAACACAAAAATGATAAAAGAAATAGGGGTTGCTATTTAAAATTTTAGGGGTATCACTTATAAACTAAAAAAAAATTTTTTTTTTTATTAAAATGATTACTTTTATACTAATTTTTTTAACATCTATTTTAACTAAATTTTAATTGCATAAAATTAAATTAAAATGTAATTTTGTTAAATTTACTTTGTTTTAATACAATATTTAGTTTATCCGACTCCTGCCGAGTCCTGCCCTGTCATTTTTGCTGTAAATATTGTACATACAGGGTGAAAATTTGAAAACGAACAGTATTTATTATTGCCTCTACCGATGATAGTATGAAAATTTTTGGCGAAACACGTCAATTTACATATCAAAGGGGACAATTTTTGAGACATTTGTTATCGTTTTACTTTCAACCCCTTGACCCCCAGGGCACCTACCCCTAAAATTTTAAATAGCAACCCCTATTTCTTTTACCATTTTTGTGTTTCTTATAGAATTCTACATAAACTGCATTTTTTTGAGAATTATAAAAAGGAACACAAAAATGGTAAAAGAAATAGGAATTGCCATTTAAAATTTTAGGGGTAGGTGCCCTGGGGGTCAAAGGGTTGAAAGTAACACGACAACAAATGCCCTAAAGATTGTCCCCTTTGATATGTAAATTGACGTATTTCGCCAAATTTTCATGCTATCATCGGTAGAGGTTTATTAAATACCGTTCGTTTTCAAATTGTCACTCTGTATGTCTCCTCGAGTATCTTGAGAAAATAGACCATTACAGGACATATGTATACTCTGCATCTTCTGAGATCTTCCTTTTCTATTACGGCATCAAGCTCACTAGTTGTGTCAAAATGTATTTCTTCTGAATTATCTGAATCCATTGGACCTTTCTCATTCCATATTTTTTCGAAAATTTCAAACTAATAAAAACGTATGTCGAGGGTCACTGTGCTGTACCTCGTATCATTTTTGATACGATTTTCCAGGAAATCCAAAAAACACACCTAATTTTAAATTAAATTATTATTTGTTTTTTTAAACGAATTATTATCTTATAGAGCCGAAATATCAATGATTTATTACCAAATGAAATATTTTTTTGAAAACATTGCAAAAACTTTTTAAAAAATAATAATATAATTTTATTAAAAAAGGCGTACGAGGTCCTGCCTTGTGACCCTCCATATCAGATTTTTAGTAAACCACATTCAGACACAATACCTATTAAACATTCACACATACCCATAATAATTCATCATAGAACATGTATTCAAAGCGCTGTCATAATAAACAATATTACTTGCAATTATGTATATCAAGAAATACTCACTTTATGAGTACCTTAAAAACCTTTCTCATAGTGCTGAAAGAAAACTCTCTCACCGTGGCTACAAAGTTTTTTTTCTGACAAGGCAGAATCTGCACGAGAGTATAATGATGAAAGGAGACTAAAGGTCACAGATTTTTCCGAATAGGCGTATTCGTTTCTGATTAATGGCGGTTATTCCATATTTAGGGATGTTATTCCATATTTTTGGATACTTTCTTTTATACAGGGTGTCCCAGGCTGAGCGTGCATTAGAAGTTTCTAGAGAAGCACAATATCTAAACCGGAGATTTTTTGCACATTATTTTTTCACAACGAGATCTATTGATTAAAAATATTTTCAATATGGCGGCACTTCCGGAAATACCGGAAATTGGCGACAACTTTCTTATTTTAAATGGGTGTCCCCATTTTTTATTACATACTTAAATTCTCTGTAAAATTTTATGAATTTTGATTTAACCGGTTTTGAGAAAAAACATATTTAAATTTTTGGACGAAAAAAACTGCCTGTCAAAAATATGCGTATAGTCTAAACGTCAAATTAATGATGACCACAGCCACTCTACCATAAAGAGAAGACATGTGGCTATTTATTTCAAAAATTAAATTGTTTGAATGTCATATAATAATGGTTCCAGCTGTCATGGAATTGAGCGATTTAAAAAGTATCATAAATATTTTTTTTTTCAAATTGAAATCCACTTTTTTTTATTTCACTAGTGAAAATGCTTTTCAGTTCGTGACTTTTTGACTATACATGTTCCTATACCTAAAATAAATCGTTTTTAAGTTATTTAAAATTTAGTTTTAAAGCGTAACCTATATTTTCTTGATTTTAACCTATAGGCCTGTAGCCTATGACTTTAAACGTCAAGTGATGCAAAACAATAGATCTGGCTATGTCATATTGTGACACTTTGTTAAAAAAAAGCAGTATGTATTAGTATGTTATCGATCATCATTTGCAAGCCAACTTTGCGTTGTTTTTTTTTCAGGGTTGATAAGTATATTATTAATATAATTAATAATATTAACTATTAGATGCCACTAAGGAGCGAAAATACGAGATATAGGTATTTTTATAAATAAACTTTTAAAACTTTTAAGGTAACAGTATTTTTACAATATAGGAAATTCAAATAATTTGTTTTCTGATAGATGGAAATAAATTGTCTGACTTTTTGACACTTAATGTCAAAGGAAGCTAGATACAATCAAGAAAAGTATATGTTTTCAAACTAAATCTTAAATAACTTAAAAATGATTTATTTTTGGTATAGGAACATTTATAGTTAAAAAGTAACGAATTGTATAATCTTCTCACTAGTAAAATAAAAAAGTAGGTTTCCATTCAAAATAATTTATGATAACTTTTTAATCGCTCAATTCCATGACAGCTATCGTCATTATCATATGACATTTGAACAATTTAATATTTGAAATAGATAGCCACATGTCTTCTCTTTATGTTACAGTAGCTGTAGCTATCACTAAATCTGACTTTTAGGCTATACAATTTTTTTTGACAAGTAGTTTTTTTCATCCAAAAATTTTAAATATTTTTTTCTCAAAAACGGTCAATGTTAGAGATAGAGTGTTTAAAATCAATATTTATAGAATTTTACAGAGAATTTAAGTATGTAATAAAAAATAGGGGCGGCCATTTAAAATAAGAAAGTTGTAGTCAACTTCCGGTATTTCCGGAAGTGCCGCCATATTGAAAGTATTTTTAATCGATAGATCTCGTTGTAAAACAATGATGTGCAAAAAATATCCGATCTTAATATTGTGGTTCTCTAGAAACTTCTAATGCACGCTCAGCCTGGGACACCCTGTATAATATGGTCCTATATGCAAAACATACTTTAAAAGAAAAAAAAATTGAAATCTAAATACCAAAATATGTCAATTTAAATGAAAATTAGTTAGTACTAATTTGATCAAATATAACATATTTATTTCAGTATTTCCCTTAGTACAAATAATAAAATGCAGAAACTCCTTATTGCCATACCTCTATGGCAAATTCATTACCTTAAATTATCTAAAATTTGTATCTCTCACAACGAACTAACCAATTTTTCCCAAAAAGGCCTTTGTATAAAATGTTTTCACACTTTCACACTATTTGACATTTTTAATATTATAACAGATTCCATAAAGCCCCATATTCACTATGCGCTGATGCGTCGATGCCAAGACTATTTAAACAAAGTGTAGTAACATGAAGTGGATATAATTTTATTAAATTATTAACACAAATATAAAACAATATGTCAAAACTGTAAATAATTTAAGGAATATTACAATTACTTATGATTTTATTTTTTAGACTCAATTTGGTATTATGTTGGTATACCTGGCCTTTGGAGTAGCAGTAAACTGTGAGATGCCAAGAGCGTGGACGTACTTCTTCACCACAAATGTCGTAACGTTTATGTTCCTGTTCTGGAACTATTATAGAAAAGCGTACAAAGGAAATGTTACCGGAAAGCTGAGCCAAAAGACTGTTTCAAATGTACAGTATTTTTACAATTAATTAACAGTGTATCGAATTGCATGGACCAAAGTTTGCTACCATATTTTTAGTTAATTATAACATCCTTTCAACGTACTGAAATTGAGTTGAGATAGTTGAGACAAAAAATTGTTTTTATCTTATAATTGAACTTAGATGCAAACTTACTTATTGCTGTAGATTGTAGATGAATGGATACATGGGAGGGGTAAAGATATTCAAAACGACCCTATAGATCTATTGTGTCCCCCTTTCCTGAGTTATAACTTGTCATACATCGGAGCTTTGATAAGAGCCAGTATCTGAAACGGTTTTACAGAGATTAGTTCTCCATTTCCGATAGCAATCGTACCAAAGTTTATGGCACGAATGGTTGTCTCGGCGCCCTCAGTGATCAAATGTTCTGGTGTATTCAGAATCTGCATTTGCCGCTTTTTCTTAGCTTCAATCTACTGAGATGTTTATTGAAGAGACTCCTGTTAAAAACCCCGTGACAATCCTAAGATTTTTATTACCTAAATCAATGACAATCTTTGATTTTTCTCGGTTGTAAGTCCGGAGAAATTTCCTCCAGTAGACCGTTATTCCAGTATTCCTAATCCAGGTTATGGATGAATTTTTCAAGGTTCTTGAGTTCTGCTTTAAGATGGTTTCCACTTGGAAAGCAGAAAGATTCTAGTCCAGTTAATAGAGTTTTACTGGAGCAGGAGAAAACGAGATTTGGTATGTTAGTATATGACATAAATTAGGATTGATTGACGTATTCAATTGTTTTCGGTCACTTCCAGTTTCACCGGAAACGATTACAACTTTTGAATTTTAAATGGCACCCTCGGTATTGTTTTACATTATTCAATAGAAAATGACACTCTGAATCGAATGACGTATCATAAGTCAACTTTTGACATATTCGCTCAAAAACAAATTGTATTTTAAATTTCAGTCTAGAGTGCCATGTCTGTATTAAAAACAATAATATTTAATCAAGGAGCCTTAGAAAAATAGATTTGATCGTCTAATGTTAGTGTCTCGTCCAGGCCTGTTAAAAGATGCCCAAATCGTATTTTTAAACATATCTCAATTTTTTCAAATGGAACGAGAGTGGCCCATTAGCATATTTGAAAAAAACATTTTTTTTCAAATAATTTGATAACACACATGTGTTATTTCGAGTCAAATTTTGAGGGTCCCATTTAAAAATCAAAAGTTGTAATCATTTCCGATAAAATCGGAAGTGACAGAAAACAATTGAATATGTCAATCAATCCTAATTTATGTCATATAATAACATACCAAATCTCGTTGTTTTATCTGAAAAAATAAAAAAAATTATAAGGGTGACTAACTTTTCAGACGCACCCTCTATTTGTAAACAAGTTCCTGCAACAATCATTGCAAAACGTTGTAGTAAGTTGCAGTACAAAAATTTGCTTACGGTAGGCGTAGTAATTGAAACCGTTGTCGGGCAGGTTATGACAATTTTATAAAGTCATCATTAGGAGAAAGAGAAAATATGGCGAACGTTTTATGTGTGGAATTTGTGATCGCGATGTCAAACATTAATTGAGTACGCCACATGTTATGCTTGGGTTCACAGGGGATGTTCCGGTCTCGGAAAAGTGAAATATTGCAAAATTCTTGAAGAATTTCAAAAAAATAAGACTTATAAGTAGGAATGTAAACGGTGTAAGAAAACTAAGGTTAGGAGACATCCGCGATGCATCGATTTATAAATGCGAACATTTTCTCTGTAATATGTGGCATTGATTAAGAGCGCATTGTAGTAATTGTTACTACAAAAGTATTTAAGGTTGCCGATGAGCAGTTTAGATTTCACTACAATTCGTAGTTTTGGTTAAGATCGAACATGCCATTTTTATACTACAATGGAACGGAAATATTGCAGACATGCAGATTACATTTTACTACAATCTTTAAGGAATTATTACTTGATATGCAGTTTATGAGCCTAAATACTTCCTTATATTAAGATCTCCTACAAAACTATAAACTGCTTCTTTTAACTACAAAAAATAGTAAATATTGATGACTTGTATTTGGCCCATATATACCACATACCACTATAGTTTGCAACGAAGGATTTCACAATTGGAGCATTATTCACAACATTTTTTCCGTGGAAAAGCAAAGGCATGGTTTTAATGCTAAAAATTTTGGTAAATCGTTAGTCTTCTTCAGAAGAGAATATCTCTCTCTCTCTCTCTCTGTCTTTATTCCTACAAGAGGAATGTAGTGGTCAGGTAATGTGTGAGCTTTGTCTCCATAATTCCCTGTCTTGTGCTTCATGTACAAGCGTGTACAGTGGCTTGTGGGTGATCTTTGATAGGTGGTCTATCTATCGGGAGGGCGAGCGGCCTTCTTCAGTCAGTATCCCTCCTCATAACGTGCATTGGCGTAACTACAAGGCGGCCAGGTGGTGCCCCCCCCCCCTAGGTACTGCTGGGCACCCCCTAGAGAAATCCTGAATTATGACTCTTGGCTAGGTATTAATTTTTATTTGCTTGTAATGCAGTAAAAATGACGTTTTCTAGTTTTGTTTAGTTAATATTATTTTTTTGTGTTCAAAAAATGTGTTAATTTTTATTTTTTTAGAAAATCTATAGGTATTTAAGTAATCTACGGGAACACGGTTTGATAACCAAGTCTATGAAATTTATTGATAGAGAAATTCATGTAAACGTTTTATTCAAAAAATGTGTTTTTTTAAATTATTTTTTATTTAAAAAAAAAACCCTAGGCCCCCCCTGTGCCCAACCCCAGGCCCACCCCAGGGCCCAATTGCTAGTTACGCTAATGATAACGTGACCGAAATATTTAAGTATACGTGACTGTATAGAAATTGAGAGGCGTTCTGTGATGTTCAGTTCTTGGATTATGGATTCATTGGTTCGCCGGGCAGACCAGGGAATTCTGAACATTCGTCGCCAACAGTACATCTCAGTTGCGTCAATTTTTTTCATTTCTGACTGTCTCATCGTTCAGAACTCGGAGCCATACATTAATATAGAAAATATTAGGCAGTGAACAAGCCTTTTTTTTAAGCGTTTAGATATGTTTTTGTCTCGCTATTTCTTTGAGAGTTTTTTGCAGAAGCGAATATCTACAAAAAATAGCTATTGAGATCAATCATAAAACAAATTATCGAGAAAGGATGCATCTTGACACAATATATCTTTAAGACACAATAGATCTTTAAGGTCGCAATGACTAACCTCCCCTCCCCTCCCATTCTACAAGGATGCACCTTGATCATATTATGTGGTTTTTACTTTTTTAAATGATTCCAGAGGATGTTTCTAACTTTAATCAAATTATCATCATTTTGTTTTTCCTCGTATAGCTAGGAATTTTAATTTTTAATTTAAAAATAGACTAAAAAGTTGAATGAGTTAGAATTGATTAAAAAATCACCAAAATTGACCCATAGAACAAAATATATTTAATTTTGAATCACTGGAAAATTTTAAGGAGCACGTTTTTTGTACCAATCAGGGTACTATTTGAAATAAAAATGAAAAGGTTAAGTTTGATTGATCAAACTGAATAACAACTTGTTTATAATTATATATTATTTCATAAAATATGCTAGTAAGGTTGGTCTAAAGCAATGTCTGTCATTTTCCATACATATACCCAGGGCCGTTCCTGGCAAGCGTGCAGTGCGCGCACGCACGTAGGCGCAACATTTTGGGGGCGCAAAATCAAAGTGTCAATCTGTACTTTGTAACAAAAAACCAATACGCTTTCTTGCCAATAAACAAATACTTAAACATACATCACAGGATAAAGTTTGCTTAGCGCCTTTTTTGCGTTAGCCGCACCGAATAAACAAGTGTAGGGCAATCTGTCGGCAACACATTGATCTCATCTATTTATTTTTCATTTTATTCATTTTATGGAAAGCACTGTTCATTGAAATGTTGTATCCTATGTTATAGGGCTTGTCTCTCTACAATTTCCTCTCTCACAATATACCGTTTGTGTCGGGGAAGGGATCATAGTTTCATAGTTGTCGATTTTCGAAAGAAATCAGTTCATGTATATTATTTCGTATATTTTTAATTTTATTGATTTTATGGAAAGCACGGTTCATTAAAATGTGGTATCCTATGTTATAGGGCTTGTTTCTCTCTACAATTTCCTGTCTCGCAATGTACCGTTTGTATCGGGGAAGGGATCATAGTTTCATAGTTTTCGATTTTCGAAAGAAATCAGTATATGTATATTATTTCGTATATTTTTCATTTTATTGATTTTATGGAAAGCACTGTTCATTAAAATGTTTTATCCTATTTTATAAGGTTTGTTTCTCTCTACAATTTCCTGTCTCACAATGTACCGTTTGTGTCGGGGAAGGGATCATAGTTTCATAGTTGTCGATTTTCGAAAGAAATCAGTACATGTATATTATTTCGTATATTTTTCATTTTATTGATTTTATGAAAAGCACTATTCATTAAAATGTTGTATCCTATGTTATTGGGCTTGTTTCTCTCTACAATTTCCTGTCTCGCAATGTACCGTTTGTGTCGGGGAAGGGATCATAGTTTCATAGTTTTCGATTTTCGAAAGAAATCAGTACATGTATATTATTTCGTATATTTTTCATTTTATTGATTTTATGGAAAGCACTGTTCATTAAAATGTTGTATCCTATGTTATAGGGCTTGTTTCTCTCTACAATTTCCTGTCTCACAATGTACCGTTTGTGTCGGGGAAGGGATCATAGTTTCATAGTTGTCGATTTTCGAAAGAAATCAGTACATGTATATTATTTCGTATATTTTTCATTTTATTGATTTTATGAAAAGCACTGTTCATTAAAATGTTGTATCCTATGTTATTAGGGCTTGTTTCTCTCTACAATTTCCTGTCTCGCAATGTACCGTTTGTGTCGGGGAAGGGATCATAGTTTCATAGTTTTCGATTTTTGAAAGAAATCAGTACATGTATATTATTTCGTATATTTTTCATTTTATTGATTTTATGAAAAGCACTATTCATTAAAATGTTGTATCCTATGTTATTGGGCTTGTTTCTCTCTACAATTTCCTGTCTCGCAATGTACCGTTTGTGTCGGGGAAGGGATCATAGTTTCATAGTTTTCGATTTTCGAAAGAAATCAGTACATGTATATTATTTCGTATATTTTTCATTTTATTGATTTTATGGAAAGCACTGTTCATTAAAATGTTGTATCCTATGTTATAGGGCTTGTTTCTCTCTACAATTTCCTGTCTCACAATGTACCGTTTGTGTCGGGGAAGGGATCATAGTTTCATAGTTGTCGATTTTCGAAAGAAATCAGTACATGTATATTATTTCGTATATTTTTCATTTTATTGATTTTATGAAAAGCACTGTTCATTGAAATGTTGTATCCTATGTTATTAGGGCTTGTTTCTCTCTACAATATCCTGTCTCGCAATGTACCGTTTGTGTCGGGGAAGGGATCATAGTTTCATAGTTTTCGATTTTCGAAAGATATCAGTACATGTATATTATTTCGTATATTTTTCATTTTATTGATTTTATGAAAAGCACTGTTCATTAAAATGTTGTATCCTATGTTATAGGGCTTGTTTCTCTCTACAATTCCCTCTCTCACAATGTACCGTTTGTGTCGGGGAAGGGATCATAGTTTCATAGTTGTCGATTTTCGAAAGAAATCAGTACATGTATATTATTTCGTATATTTTTCATTTTATTGATTTTATGAAAAGCAGTGTTCATTAAAATGTTGTATCCTATGTTATTAGGGCTTGTTTCTCTCTACAATTTCCTGTCTCGCAATGTACCGTTTGTGTCGGGGAAGGGATCATAGTTTCATAGTTTTCGATTTTCGAAAGAAATCAGTACATGCATATTATTTCGTATATTTTTCATTTTATTGATTTTATGAAAAGCACTGTTCATTAAAATGTTGTATCCTATGTTATAGGGCTTGTTTCTCTCTACAATTTCCTGTCTCGCAATGTACCGTTTGTGTCGGGGAAGGGATCATAGTTTCATAGTTTTCGATTTTCGAAAGAAATCAGTACATGTATATTGTTTCGTATATTTTTCATTTTATTGATTTTATGGAAAGCACTGTTCATTAAAATGTATCCTATGTTATAGGGCTTGTTTCTCTCTACAATTTCCTGTCTCACAATATACCGTTTGTTTCGGGGAAGGGTCATAGTTTCATAGTTGTCGATTTTCGAAAGAAATCAGTACATAATTATTATTTCGTATATTTTTCATTTTATTGATTTTATGTATTTCATGTAAAATGGGGCAGTTTTTTTCTTTAAGGGACTATTTTTGTTACTAAATATTTTTGTGGTTTTGTTTGTTTTATCTATTTAATAAATGTTTTTATACTTTAATTAAAATAGTTTTTTCACATTTCTAATTACATATTGCCCGTTTGTCACAGAATATAAATTCTTTAAATTTTTGAGATTAAGATTAAAATATATAAATTGATTTAAATATAAAAATAGCGCACCAAAGAATGCTGCACGTAGGCGCCAGATACCCCAGGAACGGGCCTGCATATACCTATATGGAATAATGTATTAAATCCCTTGAAATACTTAATTATACAGTATATCCCATATACAGTATATTGTTTTCACAAGAGTTGCATTTTGTTGTTGCATTCTTCATAAAAAAATTAAAAATATATAGCTGAAGTCCTAAAAATCAAAAGGCGTTTCTATGGTAATATCATTTAGATTTCATTCCTTGATAGATGGATATTATTAATTTCCATTAGCGTCATAATTTTTACAATTGTTAAAGTGTCACATTTTCCAATAACACTCACCACTTCCGTAGAAATGAACTAAATAAACTTTGTACGTCTTTAACATTTTAAAACACCAAAAAAATATGTCGTTAATTAAAATTCTATAAATAACAATCTATCAAAGAATGAAATCGAAATGATATTGCCATAGAAACACCTTCTGATTTTTAGGACAGGGAAAAATTCAAATATTATTTCATGTTTTCTTAAATATTCTCTACAACGGTATGGATATTTGAAAAAGTATTAACGGGATTAACTATTTTAGAACAAACAAACTTTTTATGAAGAATACCTACATTCTTCTCAAAATGTCAATAATAAAAAAGTTTTTCCTCTTGTAAAGACAATCCGAAGATATACTGTCATTTAAACAATATCTATTGCATAAAAAGTCAAAGCATAATTTTAATTTAAGATCTACTCTCTATTTTACTTAATTCAAATGCAATATTTTAGATCAATGGTGTCAAAAGTTCCATTGAAGAGTTATCGAGTAATGGAGTTCAAAAAAACCAATGTAGCGAAGAATTACCATCGACGGACGTAAACAAAAGAATATTTAGTGATAAGAAGAAAGGCTAAGATGTCTGAGCGTTAAATTTAGATTTTCCTACTATAGATTTTTCTAATTGTTATTTATTAGAATGTTCGAACTATCTCAAGATTTTTATAAGATCTGTATTTTCCAGGGTTTAATTTGTAACTTTGTTTTCTAGGGCATTTGGTTTATAATTATTTTAAAATTTTGTGTTCGTATCGTGTACAATTAGAATAATTTAAAGATACTGTTGAGGCCGATGAACATTTGTAAATATTTCTTTAGGCTATGTTAAATTGATATCTTATATGTGACATTTGAAAAAATAAATGTTAAGTTAGTCATTAAAATAAGAAATATCTTATTTATATATAAAACTGTTGTGATCTTTATTTCCATTACACCACAACTTGCGAATAATATAAATATATGTATTTACCGATCTAGTCTAGCACAAGCAGAATACTTAAAGAGATTGTCTTTATATACCAATTTAAAATTCTATCTTATATAGAAAAGAAGTAATTATATATTTTAGCTTTATGTGTGGTTTTTACAAAAATAAACGTTTAGCGCTAGGTTACCATGATGTATATTCATTGTATCTTTTCTCTTCCATAAGTTGATTTCATAATTAAGCAAAATGATCGGCATTTGACAGATAATATTTTGAAGATATAAAATGGCATTTTTTTATAAGAAAAAATAAACTAAAACTAAATTTGACGTAGTCCCTGTCAGCTGCTTTCTTTGACGAATCCAGTACAGTCATAACATATTCCATAATTTCTTTACCAGAATTTACCAATAAAGTAACAACCCTAGACACAAATTTCAAATATGTAATGCAAAATAATTTCATTGCGAGTTGTTTTTTTTTCTGGTAAAATCTCTGGGTGATCTTTTTCTTTTAAAAAAATTATAACTACAAAAACTTATACAGGGTGTTTCAAAAAACTTGTGCCATCTCTCGTGCGGATATTCCTCACGTAAATATAAGATTCATTTTTCATATCCGATATACGACATAGGTCCGATTCTTCTTTGTTTAGTAGCTACAGGGTGTCTTAATAATCTTTCGATTTATTATAATTTTTTTCCAAGTGCTTTTAATGATTTGAATGAAATTTTGGGGGTAAAAGTTACTGTAAGTGTAACATATTTCAATACTAAAAAAGTATTAATAAATTCAACAGGGACGTGCGTATGGGTTATCACTAGTGATGAGCCAAACCGTGATTTTCTGTTCACAGGCTTACCTGTGACAGCGACTTTGTATTATCTGTGACTCTTAACTGTGACTGCGACTTTATGATTATGAATCCGAAAGCACAATCACGGCTAAAATATAAGATACGATACGAATGATACGATTCTGTTGTTGTTGTTATACTAATTTTTATTTGTCCTTTATTGAAGGCCGCTGAAATAGAAAACACTAAACAGTGGGTAAAAGGTATATTAAAAAATAAAAATAAAACAATTTTTTTATTTAAAGAAACCAACGGGAAAAGAACAAAATATGCCAATATGCTCATAACCATAACGAATGAAACTTAACAACACGAGATAAGTAATACATTAAACAACAAATAATTTCCTTTGTATTAAAATAAACGAAATATATAAAAAATGAAGTTTCTAAAAAAAAATAAACAGTATAAAGGTAAAACTTTATGCTTGGCTTTAAAAAAACCTCCTAAACTAAAAAGGAACCAAACCGATTCGTAGTGATAGAAAATAGTAATAAAATATAAAATACATAAAAAATTAAATCACTTCTAACAGTCACTGTCTTTAGATCACTTTGTCAGATATCTATCCTATGTACGTCGTGACTCGTGACTGAGTCACGACCGGCGCCATCGGCAGCTGCGTTCACGACGCGCGACGTCCCGCTCTGTGAAGTATTTTCTCGTTACCAGAGAAATCACAATTAACTGTAATCGTCATGCTTTAGCAAGTCACCGTTTATTTTCAAATCAGTCACAGGCCGTGACTGTGATTATAGAATATCAGTGACAAAGTCACAGTTACCGATATTTCACTCATCACTAGTTATCACTGTAATATTTTTCAAAAAAAAGAACATGTGCGCCACTGACCTTTTTTCTTTTGATATGAAAATTGTGTAGGCCGTTTAATGCCAATTAAAAGTTATCTCTTAATATTTTGTCGAATTCGGCTTCCTTAACGAGATAAACGCAATTTTATTAATCACAATTAATAAAATTAAAATAAAAATAAAATTACATAATAAATTATATATTTTACCTTATTTATTATTAAATATTATTACTAGTCCAACATACAGTAATTTTAAATAAAAAAATAATGGTATTTAAGATCATTATTACAAAAAACCTCATTTTAAAGTTTTAACATCCTGTAACTCTAAAACAATGCATACAAACAACATACCCGTGTTTATAGAAACTTTTTTCATATTTTTTTATGAGGAATCAATGAATCAATTTAATGATTATTTTATCATTAACTTTCGCAAGTTAATGATATTATTTTTTTTAAAAGTTGCTATTAGACTTGGATCAAGGCAAATTAATAAAATTGCGTTTATCTCATGAAAGAGGCCGAAATCGACAAAATATCAAGAGACAGGTTTTAATCGGCAATAAATTCCTTACACTATTTTGCTAACAAGAGAAAAAAAAGTCGGTGGCGTACATGCTTTTTTTAGAAAAATATTCCAGTGATAACCCATATGCACGTCCCTGGTGAATATGTCTACACTTTTTTAGCTTTAAAATATGGCGCATTTATAGTTACGTTTACTTATCCAAATATCATTCGAAACGCTAAAAGTACTTGGAAGAAAATTATAATAAATCAAAAAAATATTAAGACTTTACACCCTGTAGCTACAAAACAAAGGAGAATCGGACGTATGTTGATATGAAAAATAAATCTTATTTTTACGTGAGGAATTTGCCCACGAGAGATGGCACATGTTTTTTAAAACACCCTGTATAGGTGCATGATTTATACCGATCTTATTATCGAAACTGCGTGGTCCAGTGTTGCCAGAAATTTTCGAGCGAATTCCTTCAACGGAGCTTTAAAAATCCTTCATATTCCTTCAACTTCACAAAATAATCCAGATCTTGTGAAAAATCACCAAATTCAGTGTATTTTACCTATTTTATAATTAGGAGAAAATTTTTAAAAATTTATGTTTGGTACACACCGAAGTATTTAAATAAACTTTTTATTAAAAAATAACTAAATTAAAAATGTTGTGATAGATACTTAACAACAGTATTATAAAATATGTTTCAAAAAATTCATTGTTTACAATGACTATATTTTCAAGTTTACAAAATATATTTTCTGTTTACCTATTTATTTTTTTTCCATCATCAAGAACTTTGGTTTAGTTATGGTATATGTGTGTAATAATACAAAATGTATCTATTATTTTTTTGTTAAATTTTAAAATTTTTCGAATTGCCGACTTTTTGACGGCAACATTGCTTTAAACTGAGACATCCTTAATTAAACACCGTTAAAGTAAAATATAGATGTAGTTAAAACAATAAATAAATACTCCTACTACTTATTTTAACAATTCTTATTGTGCAAAACTGCCAGAAACCTTCATATTGTCTGCATTTTCGATAAAAATCCTTCAGTTCTTCCATCGATGAAATTTGACAGTAAAATCCTTCATATTAAAGGAAATCCTTTAACTCTGGCAACACTGGCGTGGTCTGTATTTTAGTGCACGCGAGAGAGATAAATATAAATGACCATTTGACAAAGAGAGAGAGAGACAAAATAAAAAGCGGCAAACAGTGTTGACGGTTTTTCTCTGTGTAGGAAAATGTGTGTAGAAAAATATAATCTATTTTAAAAACTTTCATGTATACTACAGAAAACAAAGATAATATATCTAAACTAAATATAATTCTTATGGGAAGTTACAATTTAAAAATAAAAAACCCCATTTAAACAAAAAAACGTTTTAATGCTACGGTACCTGCAAGACAATTAAAAAATGACTCTTAATTAATAAATTATTAATTATAATTAATAATTAATAACTACGTAACGCAAGTTTCTGTATTTCTTCGCTTGTTCTACTCCTGCTGACTGCGATTATTAACGTCACAGATTAACAGGCCCACGTTTGCAACCACAGGCCAATGCGGCAAACTACTATGCTGATAAACGGCCATAGAAGTTTATATGTTATACAACTTATAAACTATTTACAACTTTAGTTTAAAAATATATTTCGGTCACTCTGCACAAATATTAACAAAAACTTTTTTAAAATGTGCTCAGATTCTGATACAAATATATCTATATAAAGAAAAATCTATAAAAAATGCCTTTTCAATAAAAATTAATATACCGTATGATCGAAAAAAAACGGCGTCCAGTTGGCTTGGAAATGACCATCGATGACATTTCCCATATAATTTTACATATAAAATGACAGCGATCTTCATTTCATAGCCATCGTTGACGCCGTTTTTATTCGATCATACGGTATTAAATAAAATAATTTAGTGATTAATTAATTATTTTTTAAATCATATTTTACTTTTCACCGAGCTTTTCACATTTTTATAAATATTCAGATCTGATTTTTATTTAATACTTTATAAATATTCAGATCACTCTTAAATAGTATAAAATAGTTATTAACATATTTTAAAATTCCTCGGTCGCTTGCCAGTATACCGGGTGCCTCTCGAAAGTGGCTCACCCTTACAACTTTTTTATTTTTTCAGATAAAAAATGGAGATTTGGTATCTTGGTATATGATGTAAATTAGGATTGATTGACGTATTCAATTTTCTTTTGACACTTCCTGTTTTACCGGAAATGACTACAACTTTTGATTTTTAAATAACACCCTCTAAAATTTTTTGTTTTTTCATATTCCACAAAGTGTATCAAACTTTCACCAAAACATAAACATTTTATTTTGCCTCGTATAAGTGACAGATGGGACCTTTCAATTTTAGTGAGAGCGCCCACCAAAGTGACGTAGCATCTAACGTGGTACGTGATCTGGCAAGTAACATGCATCTTTTTTTGGCATGCTACAACGACGAATGACACGTTTCTAACAGCGCTACTTCAGTGTGCGCTGACACACTTATTATCGTTTGTTCAATTCTACGTAACTTGCTAGATGCATGTTACTTGCCAGATCACGTGCCACGTCAGATGCTACGTCACTTTGATGGGCGCTCTCACTTAATTTGGAAAGAGATACTAACTAAAAAGTCAAATAATTTAGCTACATAGGTATTGCTTAAAAAATTATCCAAATTGGCCAACTATTGACCCAGGTAATAGATGTCATCCACATCCACAGAATCAAATTCTTCAAATGGCAATGGGCAGGACACCTGGCAAGCAGAACGAACAACAGATGGACCACAAAAATTACTTCTTGGTGTAGTAAGTAGTTACCCACGAGGAATTAAGAGACCTAGAAGAAGACCGAACCTGAGATGATATTAGGAAATTAGCAGGGATAACTTATTGGACTCGCATAGCCAACAATAGACAACAATGGGCTCAACTACAAAGAGAGTATCTACATATGTGGAGAAGGCTACACCATAATTGGAAATTGTTGAATAAGCTGAAAATGATAATGATGATTCTAGGTACCTATATTTTTACTCTACTATTTTATTCGACAATGTCAATCAAACGATCAAACGGGGAATCAGAATTTGATTCTAAATTTGATAACACGAGATTATTAAAATTATGTTAGTATATTAATCCTTATCATTAGATGTGATAACAAATCCCAAAAATTTTACTAAGTTGGTAAATAACGCTAATTACATCTGTGGTGGATTCAAATTAAATTGAATATGATACCCAAATATTAAACTTCTAAAAAATATTCATTACAATTTAATAAAAAATGACATATAGCTTTTTTCGTTTCCCTGCTATTACCGATTCTGAACCGTCCTAGAACTCTGCAGCGCATGCGCAAATGAAATAATGCCTTCATATTTCCTTCTGCGCATACGCATCACAGTTCCAGGACGGTTCAGAATCGGTAATAACAGGAAAACGAAAAAAGCTATTATGTATGTGACAGTTTGTGTCCACATCTGATTTAGTGTCGAGTGTCGACGTATCGATAAGTGGTTCACGGAATACGGTCCGTTAGGCCTGGACTATATTATATAAAACTATAATGACAGCTTTAAGTATCTATTTTTCTTAAGAGCGACCCTGCGAGGTCCCATTCTACCCTAATGTAGGTAGATTCATTTTCACCGTTGTAACGTACACATCTTTTTGTATTCTTATTGTTTTTCGCCTTGCTATTTTTTGTTAAAGCGAATAAAGTTAATTAATTCCAATAGGAAGTCGATTATCATTTATTATAACTGGTGCAGTCGGTAGGATTCCGAAAAGATAACACTGTTAATCTTTGTTTCGGAGCATTAATTCCTGTATTGTGAAAAACCTTCTCAAGGCGACTCGTCGAAGAAACATAAGAAACATCTGCATCCTTGTCGTGACGGTACAGTTTGATTCTCACCAAGGAAACCCAGCTGGAAAAATGCCAGAAGCCTGAGTTTCCCGGGGCAACTCAACTGGAAAATCGCCAGAAGTCTGAGTTCCCGCTCCTGGTTATCACAACCAACACTAGAATTCAACGACTAAGACTCACTACAAGCAGTCTTGGGTTTGATTCTCACCAAGGAAATACAGCTGGAAAAACGCCAGAATTTTGAGTTCCCGCTCCTGGTCATCGCGACCAACTTCTAGGATTCAACTTCTAGAACTCACTACTAGCAGTCTTGGGGTAAGTCGCTTGATTTAGTCATACAAACTGCTAGCTAGATCTTCTTTCCTCTTTTTTTCTGTCTTGTTCTCTTTTACACTTTTTTCTTTCTTTTATTTTACAAGGTTTTATTTTATCAAAATGACACAACCTTCTAACCAAAGTCAACCCTCTCACTTATTCTTTTCGTACGATAAGGCATTTACATTAATTCAAAATTTCAATGGTTCTACAAAACATTTGCATAATTTTATAGACGTTGTAGACTTTGTTTAGAGTCGTTTCGATTCTCAGGAACAAGATATTTTTCAATTTATTGTAAAAGCTAAATTGGAAAGTCCTGCTTTAGACCACATAGCTTCATAAGAACTAAACGACTGGCAAACAATAAAGAACGAATTATTAAAGAAATTTGGTGAATCACTCGATATTCACAGCTTAGCTTACGAAATGGTCCACTTAAAACAAATGGCTAATGAAAAGCCGCTTCAGTATGTTCAGCGCGTCGAAAATCATTTGCTTCGAATCCACAAAATTATCAAATATAATACTGCATACGATATATCTGCTAGGACTGTTTTACGAGAATACCATGAAAAATCCGCTCTTCTAACACTTATGAATGGTGTAAAAGGCCCTCTTTGCACGACCATATGTTTACGAAAACCTAGATCAATAGCAGAACTAATAAACTTAATAAATGATTTCGAGAATCAGCAATTTATGCTGACACAAAAAAGTAGTTCCCGCTTTACTAACTCGACCACACAAATTCCAACTCAGCAAAATGTAACCCTTTCTTATACTCAAACTTCTTTAAATAAACCCGTAATAAAGCTTCTCATAAAAAATTGCTCTTTTTGTAATAAACCCGGACATCATGTAGAGTCTTGTTATGCTAAATACGAGGCTAAATATATGCTAAATCTCCGTCCGCCAACTACAGCTAAACGAACAGCAGAGTAAACTTTATGTTGCATTCATCGACCTCACGAAGGCCTTCGACTCTGTAAACAGAGATGCACTTTGGGCAATTATGCAAAAGTTTGGGGTGCCCAACAAATTTCTTACTGTGTGTAAAAGCCTCCATAACAACAACAAATCGAGAGTGTCACATCATGGATCACTGAGCGATCCATTCCTGACAAATACAGGAGTTAGGCAGGGTTGTGTCCTAGCTCCTCTCCTATTCAACATATTCATGGCAGCGCCCTCTATTATAGTGGACAGCAAACTGCAGGAAAGAGGAATGGGTGTTAGATACAGGTATAACGGCGGTGTGTTCAACATAAACAGGCTCAGGGCAAAAATACGTATAAAATTCATCACAGAACTCCAATACGCTGATGACTGCGCTCTAGTTGCAAATACGTTACAGCAGTTAGAGGAAATGCTGAACACATATACCTGGGCATACGAGACTTTGGGCCTTAAACTGAACATCAATAAAACTAAAATCATGTGCACTCCCCCGGAAAACCATAACAGCGCTACAAAAATCGGAGAAGAACTATTGGAGTATGTTTCGAAATTTAATTACCTCGGCAGTTTGATTTCCGAAAAGGCAAATATCGACTCTGAAATTCAGCACAGAATCAGCAGCGCCTCAAGAGCATTCTGGAAATTAAAAGACAGGGTTTTCTACAATCATGACTTGAGTACAAAAACGAAACTTGCAATGTATCGAGCAGTAATAATCCCCACTATGTTATATGGAAGCGAAACCTGGGTACCGATGTCGTACCGCTGGCACACGAGCGCATTAAACCGAGGGGTGAACACTTAGGGGATTTATGGTGTACACATGAGAGGATTTCCAGGGGATGTACCGAGGATGTAGTGGATGTACCGAGGATGTAGTGGATGTACCGAGGATGTACTAGAGGATGTAGGGGATGTACCGAGGATGTAGGGATGTACCGAGGATGTACTAGAGGATGTACGGGATGTACCGAGGATTTACCGGGGATGTATTTCGAATTATTTGGGGCGTAATTTGCCGAATGCGATGTTTCAAGTCATCCAAATTTGTGGGTTGTTTTTTGAATACATTTTCCATAAGGTATCCTCTTCGGTATCCTCTTAAAAAAGGTTTTTTTCTAATATTTTTTTTCACTTTTTAATTTTTAAATGAGAATAACTCCAAAAAGCTTGGATTTGGGTATAGCACTTACATGGAAAATATTCAGAATTTTAAGGGTAATTCAAAAATGCAGAAAAATAATAATTATGTTGCCACGAGGGTTGCCATTAAAAGAAATTGTTTTGGACAAAGCATTTTTGACGCACCCTGTATAATATTCATTTTTTGCATAATCTGCCCCGGAAAAATTAAAATAATTGATGTGGCCGAGCGATTTCCAAAAAAATGTGGTTCTCGAGATGTTGATATTTATTCAATATTTTACAACCACCCTGTACGAAATCAAATAGGATTATTGAGAATATAGATAGATATAGATATTTCCGATATGCAGTATTCATAAAGAGATATAGCGGTATCTGTTATATCGATAGCTATATCGATATTTGTGGACGAATATATCGTTACTTGGTTTTCACGTATGTGAATTAGCTTGTGCACATCCGTTTTTTTCAATGAATTTATTAAATAAAGTTTGCACAAGCCGATTTTCAAAAGCCGATTTGCACAAATTTCATGAGAGTGAAAATGGACCTTTATTTGATATATCGATAAAAATATCAATATATAATATCTATAATGTATATATATATAACTCAAGGCTTTGTGGCTCACCCCTACTCATAACCTCAAAATATCTCGCAAAATGTATGTATAAGTCAGATATATAGCCTTTAATCCATATCTCTGGTATAAGTTTATGCAAAAATGTGTTTGGCATGTGTATTCATATCTTATTGCATAGTGCCGTAAGCGTTATGAATTAAAGGGAAGTGTGTGTAAATAATTATTATTGTGCCCTCTATACGTCAAAAACGAAGTTATATAAATGCGAATGCCTTTAACGTTGCCTATTTTTAGGTCTGTTTTATAAAGTAGATCCTCGGTAGCTACTAGATTTCATTTTTATTTGGGGTTCAAAACACGAGATTGATAGCTTTGCACATAATATAGGGCTTTACGCATGACTAAGTTATTTTTTCCGCCGACATAAACTGCATAAACCGAGGCATAAACTGCTGTTATACAGGGTAAGTCTTAAATAAGTGCAAATATTTTCAGGGGTGGTATATTTTGACCCCAGGAACACGTCTATGATGTTTTTTTTTGCAAATAAAATATGTTGAAAATCGTGCATTTTCTTTTAAATTTCCCTGTATATTTTTCGAAAACTTTTTAAAACTGCCTGTTCACCGCTAATTTTCCCACGTTATAAATTCTTAATCTCTGATATTACCATAGTTACAGCTTTACTCTATGGTTACGGCACTAAAAGGGATGAAATACAGAAAAAAATCAGGTGGCTATCAAAATTAATAAAAATCATTTTTTTTTTAAATTTTCAAACTTAAATAACTCGGTTATTTTGGACTTATTTGAAAAATGGTAAAGAAAAAATATGTATCTTTTATCGAGATCTACCAGCCCTGAAAATATTTGCACCTATTTAAGACTCACCCTGTATAACAAAAGTAACGGCGAATTGTTGTGGGCACAATAATAGCCGAGATTGTTACAGCTCTGGCAAGATTTGATATGGGTTGGCGCGCCTTAGTTCGATTCTCGATGACCCCGTATAATTTTTTTAAATGGTTTTGATTTTTTTTTATCCTTTTGAATTCAACAAAAATATTAGGTGTCAACTATATTACTAGCCAATAAATTGTAGAGGTTTGAGAAATTTTGTGTAGTTATACATATAATAAAGCTCGTAATAAAGTGGGAGATCGCTCTAACATAAATAACAATTCCGGTTTCGTCGTAAGTAAAGTAACCTTAATTTTGTTATTTTAAATAAAAAACACCCAGTAAATTTTTATATCCCTCTAGTAAATGTAAGTCCAAATGCTGCTTCATCTTTTTTTTATATATTATTTAAAAGTTTCGGAGATAATAGCGTTCAAACTTTTAACTTTCTTTTTACCATTCAAATAAAATTTTAAAAAAATATGTACAGTGTGTCCAAGATAAGTATATCTCGAAAAGTATTTTAGATACGTAAAACTGTTCATCACGAAAATTATTCTAAATGTATGGCGTACACATGAGAGGATTTCCAGGGGATGTACCGAGGATGTACTAGAGGATGTAGGGGATGTACCGGGGATGTACCGAGGATGTAGTGGATGTACCGAGGATGTAGGGGATGTACTAGGGGATGTACGACGATGTAGGGGATGTACCGAGGATGTAGGGGATGTACCGAGGATGTACTGGAGGATGTAGGGGATGTACTAAGGATAGAGGATGTAGGTGTACACTTTTTGCCCTATGTGTTTACCCCTCGCATTAAACAAGTTGCAACAGAGACACCTCAGACAACTGTTAAGAATCAAATGGTACCACCACGTCTCAAACGTATCAGTCCTTGAAAAAGCGAGCTGCGAGAGCGCTGAAGTCATGATTACTAAATCTCGCTTAAGATGGGCTTGCCACCGAAATCTCTTCTTTACGGTGAACTTGTAGATGGTAAGAGGAAACTGGGTGGTCAACTCAAAAGATACAAGGATGTTTTTCATGAAAACTTAAAGGGGATAAGTATGCAGCATCAGTGGGAGGAAGCAGCGCACAATAGAACGCAATGGAGGAGAATTGTAAATTCAGTTAATAACGACAACCAAAAAGTAAAGAGGCAACAAAGTAATGAGATTTTTGAATGTCTGAAGTGCGGAAGAGAGATAACATCACGTATCGGGCTTTTCAGTCACAGAAAAGCTCATGACAGGAAACGCCTTGCGTAACCATCTTCTGATGCGTGTCAAATACTCGTTAGCGAGTAATGGCAGTAGTAATAGTAGTAATAAAGCTTCTCATAAAAAATTGCTCTTGTAATAAACCGGGACATCATGTCGAGTCTTGTTATGCTAAACAAAATCACGTAAAAATTAAAACGTTGCAATAAGTATCCTCTCAATATAGAAGAGTCTCCACATAGACCCTTTGATAAAATTTCCCTCAACCTCCTAATTATCGATAAAACATTTATATTAACGGTTATTGATAATTTAACACAATATACGCTCAAGCTTACTTGCTAAAAAATAAGACTGGAAAAACAATAGTTAATAAACTAAAAATGTTTATACAACATTATCAAATTCCTCGAGAGCTCTATGTTGACAATGGAACTGAATTTGTCAACAAACAGGTAAAAGATTTTTGTAGCAAGTTCCATATTAAGCTAAATGTATGTTCCGTCGAACACTCACATTCAGTGGGAATCGTTGAGAGATTACATGGCGCAATTGCAAACACTATTCGCTGTTATTTGAATGAAAATCAAATTAATCAATTAACTGACGCGTTACTTATTGCAATAAACTCATACAATAACTCTAAACAAAAATCATTGGATTTATCTCTGAGAGAAGTTTTATTTCCTCATTCAAATATTTTCGATCCCTTGGAGTCAAAAGACAAAAGTCCAAAACTCATTCAGACAAAAAGTTATCTAAATGTAACTACCCGGGAAGGAACGTTTATCAGTTGGTGTCAATTAAAAGGAAAGCCAATTCTGACAAATTAGAAGAATATCCTGGGGTCATTCAAAATTATTGAAATAAAAAAATAAAACTGCTCTAAAATTCTAAAATTTCATTTTGATTAAATAAAACTGGTTTATTTTGTATATCAAATTTCCAATTTTTTAATAATCAGTTTGTATGGCGTGTTTCATGCGACCATCATCATACGAGTTTTTCTTTCATCAACATCGTACCTTCAGATGTCTATCGTGATATTCTGCTACCTCACAGAAACAACAAGAACTTCCCTGCAATAACTTCCCAACAAGAACTTCCCCCTTACAAAAAGTTCTTCCTTTGGAAAGGGAGGTGTTATGTATTTGACAGTTTGTGTCCCTATCTGATTTAGTGTCGAGTGTCGACGCATCGATAAGTAGAATACGAATAATAATAATAATATATATTCACGGAATACGGTCCGTTAGGCCTGGATTATATATGAAACTATAATGACAGCTTTAAGTATAAATTTTTCTTAAGAGCGACCCTGCGAGGTCCCATTCTACCCTAATGTAGGTAGATTCATTTTGACCGTCGTAACGTACAACCGTTGTACACAGCTTTTTGTAACTTATTATTTTTCGCTTTGTTATTTTTGTTAAAGTTAATAAAGTTAATTAATTCCAACTGGAAGTCGATTTTTATTTATTATAACTCATATGATCTGACCCTTATTAGCATTAACAATTTAATCAAGAAAAATATAAATTATAATTCTGTTTAACTTAAAGTATATCGAAAATAAGTTGCTGAAAAATTTAATTCTGCTCTATAATCGACTAACATGCTACTTACTGATCGAATATTTAGATTATTAGATATCAGTAAAAGCTATTGGAATTATGTTTTTTATGAACTAGCAGGTATGAGAACTAATAATTATTATATTTGTAATTATTTATAAAATAAGATTTATAAAACTTATTTTATTAGAAGTAAAAATTATATTATTTGTGGCGCGGTTGTACATTTGACGGCTTTACAGACGAGGCACAAAAAGTACATTTTTACTCCGAATAGAACATGCTATTTTTATCAAACATCACAAATAAATTTTTAAACAATTTCAAACATGGCAAATAATATCTATTAATTCAAATAATCCAATCATCAATTATTAGTAAAATAATATCTATTTATTATTAATAAACAGAGTATTCCTTAATGACATGCCAATATTTAAGGGGGTGATACTTGGACCTATTTTAAGAGAAAAACTTCATATGAATATATCTCTTAAACATCTTAATTTCTGAGATACAGGGTGGTAGAATTTTCTAAAAAAGACTTATTCTTTGTATAATTGCTCTGACTTTATTATAGATATCTTTATGAAACTTGATACGAGCGTTCCATGCATCAAAATACCTCTTTTGTTGTACAAAGAATTTAATTTATTTCAACCAGTGCCGTCCATACGAATTTTACATTAAATAATATTGGAGATAAAAGTGGTACACCACTGAAAATATATTTTTTTCGAAATCTCCATTCATTTCTAAAAAATTTTTTGTCTCTTGAGTTTTTTTATCTGACGCATAGTCTTTGCTTAAAAAAATTAAAGTCAGTGTTCTTCAGGGTCAAATCGCTAAAAATCTGATGCGGTGACTGTTGTGTGGAAATCATTTCTGCATCAGCTGGAAGGAAATAAAGAAATAGAAAAATATATATTATAAATTAAGAAATATCAAATATAATATTAGAGATATTCGAAAAAATTATTAGAAAATTTTACCACACTGTATCTGAAAAGTTAAGAGGTTTAGGACATAATATTAATATGAAGTTTTTTCTTAGAATTGGTCCAAGAATCACCTCCTTAAATATTAGGATGTCCTTTAGAAGTCAGTTTAATAAAATCTTTTTATTTATATATATATATATATATATATATATATATATATATATATATATATATATATATATATATATATATATATATATATATATATATATATATATATATATATATATAGTAGATAAAATAGTACTGTAACCGCAAGGGTAGC